TCCACCCCCCCCCCCCGTGAAGAATAGCGAACATCCATTGTATACGGATGCCGCTTTTTATATTTAAGTCCTATGTTATGCTCTCTCACCCTTCTAACCACATTCTAGACACAAGTAAACACATTCGCAAGCACTCGATGGGTTCATGATTTACCTACGCAGTAATATGCCGTGGAGCTAGGAAAGATTGTAGCACAGCCAAAACGAGTAGCTAGAAACGCTTCCAAAGGGTTACCTATGAAGTCTTCGGTAAAGGCCGTAACCGTTGTGAAAATAACAGATTATGCCATTTTCATTCCATTAGAGCATTAGTTAGGGGGAAATGCATACCTGATGATCCTGAAGAACAACGAAAATTGTCGGCAAGTTTTGAGCAACCATATAAATAGTATGTTTCAACGAATTATATTTTCAATAATAAGCTACGTTGTTTCATGAATGCTACCGTCTACCGAAAACGGTACGCCAATAGCTGAGGACGCCAGATGTGAACCGAAATGTGGTGAGGACTACTGCATGTAAAAGGAATACGGCAAAGTATCAACCCAACTGAACCCTGGGTTAACGCTGCATTCTTGGTTTTCGTGCAACGTAGACGAGAGATTCATTAGTGTCTGGTGTTCAAATCTCCGCAATTGGCGATTTATTAACCAACGTCAGGCTAAGTTTGATGGCAGCTCGGGTAGCACAATTACCTGATGAACCGGGAGGGTGGCTGTGGCTGTCGAGTTTTCATCGCCATTACAATTAGCCTATTGTGTCAAAGAATACTTGATGACTAGCTAAACGGAGCAGTGTACCCGACTGACCTAGTGAAATAAGATGAGGCGATTTCGAACAACCTGGAACTAGATGTCCGGTTGCCAGTTCGTGTTTCATTCGGAAATTCGTGGTCAGCTAATGTACGGAAGGTGTAATTTGTTTTTATCTCCGGTACCAACGTTATCAGAATTCCTGCCTACCGGGTGGATTCAATCCAACGTCTCCTCTTTTTTTAGAATAAAGTCAAGCAACTTTTGACAAACTGTGAGGAGAGACTCGAAGAACTGCGTGCAGTGCGTAAGGCGCATGCCGAGCTGACTAATTTTCTTCGTGTAACGAAAGCATTGGAAGCTGAGGTATGTTTCGTCGTTATTTCTGCCTATACGATCGAATGGATTTGGTTCTCATTAAAATCGAAATGGAGTTTTCGGCTTTGTGTTGTGACCTTTTTATTTTACTGCTATCTTCGCTAGCTATTCAACTCATAGTGAGGGACAGTCTCTGTTTTGACTCGACGGAAACCAATCAGTTCAATATACCCAAAGTTTTAGTGTGTCTGGGTGAATTTAGCATGTCGTGTGTGGGTCGTGTTTCATCAGGTCGTACACGTTGTTTCGGCGCGCAATAAAGAGGACTCAAATAATCGGGTTGCCTTTGCTTCAGATGTAGACGACAGTCTTAACGTAACTTGATAAACGAAACGGATCATTCTGGATGTGCGTTTTTTTTGCATTTGGTGATTGCTCTAAGTGAAGTGGGATCCAACTGCACAGAAGATCGATCTTATGTGGTCGTGAACGAGACATTGGGGAGTATGTTCCCATGCTCTTTCTGATAGACAATGTGTTGTTCACTCACTCTAACTCATTCGACAAAAACAGAGTAGGCACTAAAACATGACGAGAATGAAGAGAGGCTTTTGACCGCACTCCAATCGAAGTGATATTAGTTGAACTTAACCATTGTCTACCTAGCACGGGGCACGGCCAGGTAGCTGTGGAAACAGTTGGAGTGTGTGTTAACAGTTTGAGCCAGATGCCCCTTTGTGGGGGGTTAGCGCAGAACAATATTATTGCTAGTTGGATGGTTTAAGTACCAGGATGCGAAGACGCCCCTAAGCAACCTAAAGTAAGAAAATTTGGTAGGATAAAAATAGTGAAGCAAACCAGGTATTTTTCTGTCAAAATATTGGTAGCTCGGGTTACGTTCGCCGGTTGTCGATCAGGTGGCCGTTGATCTGTTCGCCGAGCTAACTGTCAACCTCGGCGTACAACTCAACGGTCACCTGATCAATCACCAGATAGTTGACTAATTAGACCAAACAAAGGAGCTGGAATCCTGTGGTCGAGTCAACTCACTTATACTAGAAAATTATGGACAGAAACAGTGGCAGCTGAAAATGGGCTTTCCCGCTTGTCGAAAGGAGCTCTCGATGGACACCAGTTGGTGATAATTGGAATGGCGACCTATTTTTACGACTATCCCAGACTGCATCTCTTACCGGAAGTACAACCACGTCCGATTCTAGACACGATATAATATATGACTGCTCCATGGTGAAAAGGCCAGAAGACCAACGTGAACCAATAAGAGTGAAAATTAGGAACCATGTCCGATTTCCTCAGCTTGATAGACGGCCTCAGTCTGAAAGATACAACATAGAGGTTTGTGTATGTGGTGTTACCACATTGTCTACAAGCGTGTCCTTTGGAAATAAAACAATGGACCACTTTTGCAGCTCGCACACTCAGAGATACCGCATTGAACTAGGACTAATATGCACGCTTTGGTCATTATTGCTGGTGTGCATGGAAATCACTTAGCTTAGTTCCAGTGGATACGTCACTGGACAGCATAGTGGCGATGGGGACCGAACTCAGCAAAAACAAAAATTGAACTGCTCGCAACTATCGTTCGACTGATATTGGAGAATATCCTTTGTCATGTGAACTAGAATAGATGGAAACAAAGTTCTCATGACACCTAACCGGTCTCATTCAAACATTCAGTCCAGGTCGGAATAGAGCAACGCCTATTTTGGATGTAAAAGTCAGTAAACAACTCGGTGAGTGTATCAAAAAGATATATACTGCAGAAGAGGTGGGCGGAGAGTACAGTCATCTACGTCTTTCAGTGAAATTCCTAAAACGCGTGCTTCTAGGAATACAATACATGAATAAAATATACACCAGGCACGTTGATGTCGGAGATGCAAATTATTCATGTAACATGCTATCAGAACGAATACTCAGATAAGATTGTTGTAATGACGGTATTTTCTCAGCTAAGTTCTCGGTTTCAACCTTCCCAGCTAGTGCCCCCTTTCAAAACGACCACCAAAAGTGCACACTATGTAGTAATACCTAAGGTTACGTCAAAACACTTGTACAGCGCGCCATTTATAAAGTGTATGCGTCGACAACATTCTGGAATTTCTGACGCCTTCTAAACGCAACGGGGGCAACCAGCATTCGACAAATACTGAGTCATGATTGGCTGCTTGGTTCAAATTTTCGACTAATCAAAGCTCGTCTAGATGCTGGACTGGCAAGCGACCCAATATTTAGGTTAATCGCGCGCAGGATAGGCTTCCCGGTCGCAGCACCGCCTGACTGCTAGCGGAATTCCTCCTAACAGTTATTAAGTACAACACCCAGAAAAAAAAAAGTGCGTTTGCGTCTGTTTTTCCGAAACAGTAATGCTAATGAAGCGAAAAGCAGGAAACTCTCTACTGAAATAAGCAAGACCCCATACTCGGTTAAACCGATGTTGTTGTATGGTAACTTTACTCTTGACGTCGTGGCTTAAGGATAGCGTCTTTATCTTCCTCAGTCCTTTTGAATTTACTTTTTTAACCATTTTCAAATTGGTTACGTTGAGGGAGAATCGAGTTGGCTATCGGAGGGAATATGCGAAAAAATCCCATATTGTGGGATGGATTAGATGCAGCTGGTTGACATCAGATCCCAGAAGAACTCCGTATTTTGTGTTTGCATTTACTGAAATGCGACTGTTATCTAAAGCAGAAACAGCGGAGGGAATGAAAAAATCCCATATTGTGGGATGGATTAGATGCAGCTGGTTGACATCAGATCCCAGAAGAACTCCGTATTTTGTGTTTGTTTGCACTGAAATGCGACTGTTATCTAAAGCAGAAACAGTCCGAATCCGATAACTCGATCCTATGCCATACTATATATATATAACATTCAGCTGCAGCACTCTTTCGGTGCTTAACTGGCATGCCAACGGAAGGAGACATGAGGACTGGGATACTGCCAGATTGCTCAAGCCTAGACAGGGGGGTCGAGAGGCAGAGGTTGGGACCGAACCACTAAGCCATCTTGCGCCTGATCCCCGTTTTATGCAAAAATCCCACCCCTGCCGCAACCATATGTGTTAACAGTTTGAGCCAGATGCCCCTTTGTGGGGGGTTAGCGCAGAACAATATTATTGCTAGTTGGATGGTTTAAGTACCAGGATGCGAAGACGCCCCTAAGCAACCTAAAGTAAGAAAATTTGGTAGGATAAAAATAGTGAAGCAAACCAGGTATTTTTCTGTCAAAATATTGGTAGCTCGGGTTACGTTCGCCGGTTGTCGATCAGGTGGCCGTTGATCTGTTCGCCGAGCTAACTGTCAACCTCGGCGTACAACTCAACGGTCACCTGATCAATCACCAGATAGTTGACTAATTAGACCAAACAAAGGAGCTGGAATCCTGTGGTCGAGTCAACTCACTTATACTAGAAAATTATGGACAGAAACAGTGGCAGCTGAAAATGGGCTTTCCCGCTTGTCGAAAGGAGCTCTCGATGGACACCAGTTGGTGATAATTGGAATGGCGACCTATTTTTACGACTATCCCAGACTGCATCTCTTACCGGAAGTACAACCACGTCCGATTCTAGACACGATATAATATATGACTGCTCCATGGTGAAAAGGCCAGAAGACCAACGTGAACCAATAAGAGTGAAAATTAGGAACCATGTCCGATTTCCTCAGCTTGATAGACGGCCTCAGTCTGAAAGATACAACATAGAGGTTTGTGTATGTGGTGTTACCACATTGTCTACAAGCGTGTCCTTTGGAAATAAAACAATGGACCACTTTTGCAGCTCGCACACTCAGAGATACCGCATTGAACTAGGACTAATATGCACGCTTTGGTCATTATTGCTGGTGTGCATGGAAATCACTTAGCTTAGTTCCAGTGGATACGTCACTGGACAGCATAGTGGCGATGGGGACCGAACTCAGCAAAAACAAAAATTGAACTGCTCGCAACTATCGTTCGACTGATATTGGAGAATATCCTTTGTCATGTGAACTAGAATAGATGGAAACAAAGTTCTCATGACACCTAACCGGTCTCATTCAAACATTCAGTCCAGGTCGGAATAGAGCAACGCCTATTTTGGATGTAAAAGTCAGTAAACAACTCGGTGAGTGTATCAAAAAGATATATACTGCAGAAGAGGTGGGCGGAGAGTACAGTCATCTACGTCTTTCAGTGAAATTCCTAAAACGCGTGCTTCTAGGAATACAATACATGAATAAAATATACACCAGGCACGTTGATGTCGGAGATGCAAATTATTCATGTAACATGCTATCAGAACGAATACTCAGATAAGATTGTTGTAATGACGGTATTTTCTCAGCTAAGTTCTCGGTTTCAACCTTCCCAGCTAGTGCCCCCTTTCAAAACGACCACCAAAAGTGCACACTATGTAGTAATACCTAAGGTTACGTCAAAACACTTGTACAGCGCGCCATTTATAAAGTGTATGCGTCGACAACATTCTGGAATTTCTGACGCCTTCTAAACGCAACGGGGGCAACCAGCATTCGACAAATACTGAGTCATGATTGGCTGCTTGGTTCAAATTTTCGACTAATCAAAGCTCGTCTAGATGCTGGACTGGCAAGCGACCCAATATTTAGGTTAATCGCGCGCAGGATAGGCTTCCCGGTCGCAGCACCGCCTGACTGCTAGCGGAATTCCTCCTAACAGTTATTAAGTACAACACCCAGAAAAAAAAAAGTGCGTTTGCGTCTGTTTTTCCGAAACAGTAATGCTAATGAAGCGAAAAGCAGGAAACTCTCTACTGAAATAAGCAAGACCCCATACTCGGTTAAACCGATGTTGTTGTATGGTAACTTTACTCTTGACGTCGTGGCTTAAGGATAGCGTCTTTATCTTCCTCAGTCCTTTTGAATTTACTTTTTTAACCATTTTCAAATTGGTTACGTTGAGGGAGAATCGAGTTGGCTATCGGAGGGAATATGCGAAAAAATCCCATATTGTGGGATGGATTAGATGCAGCTGGTTGACATCAGATCCCAGAAGAACTCCGTATTTTGTGTTTGCATTTACTGAAATGCGACTGTTATCTAAAGCAGAAACAGTCCGAATCCGATAACTCGATCCTATGCCATACTATATATATATAACATTCAGCTGCAGCACTCTTTCGGTGCTTAACTGGCATGCCAACGGAAGGAGACATGAGGACTGGGATACTGCCAGATTGCTCAAGCCTAGACAGGGGGGTCGAGAGGCAGAGGTTGGGATCGAACCACTAAGCCATCTTGCGCCTGATTCCCGCTTTATGCACAAATACCACACCTGCCGCAACCATATGTGCTTCATTGTTCTACTCGTTTGCACTCCGTCTATCCATAATCCAGTTTTGAAGGAGAGAAAATATCAGTTGCCATTGAAAGGGCATCAGGAGCTATTCGCAGTGATGACCGTTTAACTGGACATGCAAAACTGCTTGTGTGATATCTTTTTGGAATTTTCGTTGTCGTTATCTAGTTCGTTCTTACGTTCATCTGTTGAGGTTGGACGCACTCAAAACATTTAGTATGCTGAACTGCAGTCTTTCAAATTTTGAGGAGCACAAACGCGTGGCTTACATGGGTTTAAGTTCTAATATCGTGCGTCAGTTTGTCATGTGATTCTGTGCCACTATGCTTTTTGCTCATTGTCAGATCTGACACCTAAAATGGCGTTATCTCTGGACCACTTGTTTACAGAACTCTCTGCTACTGTCGCTGATCAGCTTATTGCGACCAAATGTCGCCCTGGATGCTGCTAACTTAGTTAGCAACCCTTCAAATCCAAGTGTTCTCGACCGTCTCAAGAAACTCACCTTGGAAGAACTCAAGCCAAATTATGAACGGCTTCCACTGCAGCAGTTTACTTTGACAGAGGATGTCCACGAGGCCGTATTCCCTCATGTGCATCAGGTGGGCCTGAACGTTTTGGTTGACTCGCTTCAATGCACTTATGATTTACACTACTTTCCATTTTAATACCTCAGAAACTGAATTGAATATCAGTTTAAAGGATCACCAGTGTAGATTGTGCAGACTTGTTGGCAATTACTTCGAGACTTACTTCGAGACTAGTCTTCCCAGTATGGGATTTACAACTCGCTGTGTATCGAGCAAAGATCAAAGCGACCTGAATCCACTTGCGTCTAGTATCCTATTTCACCGTACCTTGGAGCATTGTTTGTCTTGCTGACTGCCTTCACTTCCAGGGTCAGAGCCACTCCTCCGTTCGACATTGTCTGGGTGAGATGTTTGTTTTAAAAAAATAATGTTGGCATTCCCGCCTACTAGATGAATCCCGAAAACATCAAGGCTCTATGGGTAGTTCTCTGTGAATTCATGTATAGCGGTCTACTGTCCGGTGAGGCTTCCCCTGGAACCCAAAAAATGTGCACCTGCAAATTTTCCGTAAATCCATGTCTTTTTTGAGAAAGAACTACTTAATTAATAATCGGAACAAATTGGGAAGTGAATTCAGCAGCACACAGCATGATTGTACTCAGTAGTTTCAAACAGCACCGATATACCGCAAGTGCGCTATCGAGTCGAAACCATCAACCAATTCATCATCCGTTTTGGGTAGCCGTTGATTGGGTTTTAGCTACGATACGTATATCCTTAAGCACTGGTCAGTGCCTTCCATGTCTCCTATCATTTTATTCCCGAGTTAGGCGCATGGAGACTGTCTTTTGCGACCAGACCTACTCACCAAACAATCTTGTCCCAGTCCCATTTTCAGTATATGTTTTCGTGACCTCTATCTTTGGTCTTTTTTTAAGTTTGTACTTCACAGTGAGCACGAACTGCAAAAGCTGGAAGAGTTGGCGACCATCATAGAAGAGACCGCTGATCGACTAGAAACAACCACTGTACCGTTGGCCAGGTGCCAAGCTGAACAAGTTATCGAGGCGTCACAGCTACTGGCCAATGAAGCCTCACTCCGCTTTGAGCGACTTCAACGAATGTGGTTGCAGTCTTGTTCCGCTTAGATCGAGATTCATCTAAGAATTTTTTACTACGATTATAGTTCTGTTTTGTACATTTTTATCTTGGTATGTCACGTTTTTGACCCTATTCAATTAAGTTTCTACTGTTTTTTTAAATTTTGAGCTGCATGCTAATGCTGTATTTCGGAAGGGCCAAATGAAAAGACAGTGGGATAGAATACATTATTGCCTGGAGAACGCAAGAAAGCTGTCCCAGTTCTGCGATAGCTCATTTATATCCGGCGGACAACTGTTTCTGTTTGGGATACCTTAGTGGGCATGCCAACGGTGAGCGCCCCATTCCGAACCTGGTCTCATAGTTGCCATCTGCGTTGATCAATGTAGATTCACCCACAAACGCCAGTTCATCTAATCCAACAACAACAGTTATGCGATAAACTAAGATTGAATCAGCGGAGACTTTACTCAGCTCTTGAGGGAGGTGCGAGATTCCCTGGATCAGAAAACCGGCGATGCGAGGCTACACATTCACGCCAGCGATGAGTCTGAACTACGGTCAGTGTGCACTTGATTATCAGTGAACTTCTCTGCGGCCTGATATGCGCTTATTAGCAGGGTTAATGAATTTGATTGGGCGCCTAATGGCCAGATCTAGAGATTACTCGATTTCTCACATTGACTACACGCGATAAAGTGTAGGTGGAATGCCAACACAACCCACATAGTGGTCCAGATTACAAACCTCTGCGCCTACTCATGAGTTGGCGAACATTTCAGATTTTCGACTAAAACTCAGTCAAGTCCTAACGGTATCCGTCTTTGGGAAAACGTGTCAGTGTAGGGAAGTCAACTTGGTAGCCGACCCTTCTTCCAAACTTTCAATCATCACCCGGAATACGACAATGCAAGCCCACTTTTCCAAAACAGACGGACTCTTTAGACAATTCAGGTAAGCATTTGCATTTGAACGACCTGGCGATTGAACGCAGTAATCCCAGCGATTAAAAAGCGTCCTGTGAATGCAGTTTTTATATGGTTGCATCAGGTCTGGCAGCGGAATCCTCCGGTGCTTGTCTTGTTCACCGTCCGCGTTAGTAACACCATTTTCAGCCGACATCTACCTACTCAGAGGATCGATGGACTCAAACCTCTAACGCATCGTCGTTATTTTTAGATCATACTATCCAGCCAGCGGAGGATGTTGGTCCCATGTTTGAAGGCGAACGGTTTGCGAATGTCGGTCCAATTTATATGACTGTTGAGTCACCTAGAGCTCGCATGCGCAGTTGGGATGTGTTGGCACCGCATGAAACGGTCCATCGTTTGGCGCCTAGGAGTAAGATACCACACAAGTACCACGTTGAAATAAAGTACTGCACTTTGCGTAAACGAAACGCTAGTTTTGTCTACGTTCTGGCTAAACTCATGTCAAAGCTGTATGTCCGAGCACATTTACGAATTCAAAATGTCCACAAACCGGGAACACTGAGAATTTGCATCAATATTACTTTCGCCGCGGTGTTACCATCTTGGATACTGTACTGACTGAAGATCAGAGGAACACTAGACAGTCTTATTGACCAGGACTCGTCAGAGGTACATATCTCAAGAACCCTTGCTAAATTACTCTAAAAGGTATCTCAAGGATGTGACCTTGTGGCCTCATCTGAAAGTGTAGACCACTAAATCTTATCGTGTGAAAAGTCTTGTTGTGACTCTACCTGCTTAGTCTCTTAGGAGGAACTAGTACATTAGCAGTATCGTATTGAGTTCCGTGTCAGCTTTTGGAAACACGGTTACTGAGCGGCCCCCAAACTATGATTTGGAATGCATGCAATTTGACGGGTCACCCCGCCCCATTTCCAGCCAACTCAGAGTGAAAATTGGAGATGGTCATAATTCTGTCGCAGTCATTTCCTAAGTTTTCTTTTATTTGTGCCTCCTGTCAATTTGTGGACATATGGTTAGTCAGTATAACGCATGCGGTGTCTATTTATGGATTACAGCTTTCCAAAAACTCCACTGAAAATCGTTTAAACGGATAAAAGAAAGTGAACGCGTTACAACCCCCTCGATTCAACTAAAGGACATGAAAAGCCTTCTTGTGCAGCACATATCATAAACGAGAGATTCAGTTGAGTCTCTCGTGAAAACCAAATTGATTTGCAAATGAGTGTATTTCTCGAAAACAGTGTGATCTGGGTTCAAATTGATCATAAGGTTGACGGGAACTGCGCCTATCTGATGAGCCCCAACAAGGGCGAAACCGGTCGTGGGCTGTCGAAAATTTTTCGGCAACCTTGTGAGTAGTTTCCTTCATGAAAATATAATGCGATATCTCGAATATCGTGCCAACTGAAACATGAGGCGGCCTGTGTGCAGCACTTTCAGTTGTAGAATATCATAAACGAGGGATTCAGTTGAGTATCCCGTGAAAACTAGTGATAGAAATTTAAGCAGAGCCCAATGTAACGCCGATGTAGGCAAAAGAGTGTCTAGTGATAATACAGCTCTGGCAATGCGAACCCTTTCTGCGATATTTACGATATTTATTCTTCGCTGGTAAAAGTGAAAAGTTGGACCATTAATAACCATCAGGCCTTAGTACACTACCTCCTGAATGTCTTTGTGAAGAAGTTACGTCTTCTCATGAGCTGGCCAGCAGGGTCAAATGTTCTAAGTGCATAGCTTTAATAGAACAAATGGCCTAATCCTGGTAGGGACAAACGCGCTTTTTGTTCCCCCTGATGTAAAGACCGGTTCTAAACAAGGACCATATTTTGTGATTCTAAGGCGGGTATGACAGAATCTGCAAATCCCGTCAATTTTCCACAACGAAGCCGGACATGGGAACGCAGTACCGGCATAAAAATCATGAAAGGAAAAAAAGGAGTCCTCGGATTTCGTCATATTCACATAAACAACGTCCTATCCATCAGAAGTAATCAGCTGACAATGTAGAAAAAACAAGAATATGAAGTCAACAAATACAATTTTCAAACCAGCTCTGGACCGTGGTTTGGTGCGAAATCAAAAGTTCCAGACGTAGGGTTTCGTAGTTCGATTAATCCAGTGCCATAGCCATCACTAACATGGTGGTGAGACCCAGCAGGATTAGGATAACATGGACCAGTGATTCCCTAAAAACAAAATGAAAGTGAGACATGTATGAAACGGGAGGACTATTTTGTCGGCATTGGTGTGATCGAAGATGGCCGCGTGTACATTGAGAAGAACTGTGTACCACATTACCACCCCATGACCTCTTAACCTAGGATGTCTCCTAATTTATGACAAAAAGACGTTCAATGGTAGGACCGTCCATAAATTTAGGATGAACTAACCACTACATGGTCAATTTCGATGGCGAGCAGATTCATCGTGATTCTTAACACTACGGAACGATCACTGCTATTCACTGTGTACTTGTTATGAAATGCGTGTTGAGGCATGCAATTCCTGTGACACTTCAGCCTAAGCTGGCTTGCATCGGTAATATGGGAAGCGACTATTAACATTAGGGTTTCTGTAGAACAGTGTGGTCGACTAGTGTTTGCCCTCGCCAGGAAGTCATCACTGAGAAATGGCTCGTCTGTCTTCATAGTTCGACGTATGGGTCACTATCGGATCTAGGTGACCCATCAGGATAATGTCAGAACCCAGTAACAATTCGTTGTAACGTAGATACAACTCAAACATTCCTGATGCCGTTGCATCTGATGGCGACACGGATGTTACTATCAGGGGCATTCTGTATGCAATGGACAGAACCAACGACCCTTTGGGAACAAGCACTACATTACCCAATCCTATAATGAAGACATGCTATCTGAGCGACTGATCCGGCATTCACGAATGTTGTCAATCACCTGCGTTTTCTTACATTACTCATAGGCTGCACGCACAACAGCCGCAACCGGGGAACTTGCTTCAAACATCTTATCAACCAAAGTAACACCACTGTTAGGTCTCTGTCCGCAATATTTTTTTCGACAATCGGTCGATTCTTTTGACAAAAATCACAAACCAATGATAGAGCACTGGCTGCGGGTAGAAGCGCTTCCTTGCATAAACTTATTTCGGTGAAAACCCTTCAGTTGTTCTACTGCTGCTTAGCAATTTTGCTCTGAACTGTACTCGACCATGACCGACATTATATGCATCGGCAAGCTTGCTGGTGTTCTACTCGCTTCACTAAAGTACGCAGCCTTGAACCTTGGTGAAGTAGGCCATCGGCAGTGTTGTAGTACATACTGCATAAAGGACGAAAACTGCGCTCAACTAAAAGTGACAACCACTTGCTGTATTTAGGCAATTCTTGAATGAACAGGACCTAGTCCACTTCGCACCAACCACTAAGCTGATTGAGATCAATTTGAGAGAAAACTATCGACCAACCACATCATTTTCTGCTTGAGTGGCAAGTCAAGCGTTCACTACTGGATTCCTGCCGGCGTAAATACTCCCTGAAGAATTGATCGGGCTGTTTCTAACAGAGAAAAAAATCCACAATATATGGTGGGGAACTGTGGTCTATGAACCAAAGAGGGAGCGCTGCTTAACAACGCATCTCGATTAGTGAACCTCGTCTCAAAACGCTATAGTGTGAGGAAATTATTAACGACCACGACGGATGGCCTGTTAGACACCAGGATATGGCAAACAAAATTTGGCTGCTAATGCACTGCGGAAAGTTAGGCGTGGCTGGTGACGGTTGCTACGACAGACGACATATCTCGCGATAATTTGGTGGCTAAGGTGGGTGACCGGAAATTCCGCGGTTTGAATCCAACCTGGGCATCTTGACTGTCTATGTTTGGGCAACCTGATAGTACCTCAGCCCTGATGCTCCCTTCGGGTGGTGTGGCAGATAGGCACTGAAAGAGTGTTACAGCTGAACGACTACTATTTTTGTTGTTATTATTTGACTCCGCATCACAGGTGGGTATAGGAATGTGGAGGAAGACTTGTATCATTATTGACCTAGATCATTATGATAAATGGCGCA